GCAATTGTTTTTTACGTGGCAATGGTTAACTAATCAAACACAATAACTGTCATATAAAGATTTTTGTGGCTGCCCATTTTGCAAATGCCTATTTCCTTTACAACTCCTCCGATGTTTATATTCTGAATTGTGTAAGGCAAGGAAGCTCTACGTATAAAAACTGATTTTCAAAAGTTGTGAGCAAATATCTAAAAAATTACCAATATTTAAAACAGGGGTCGGCAACCTTCGGTCCACGGGCCACATGTTACCCACAAGGTATTTTTGTGTGGCCAGGAGAGCTCCTGCTAATCAGTTGTTAATACGGCCCGGTGCACGACTGTCAGCTTGATACTGGCTCAGTTTTCCATATAAGTAGCTTCTTGTCTAGATCAGCATTACTTGTACATTTAACATTATTTCAAGGCCTTCCAAGGTCAATTTGTGAATGTCATGTATAAACATACATATTGTCACGCTCCAGCGTATGCTACGTTTTCTGAATACTCGGCTGGGTCAAGGGAACTTGGCTCACTTTCCAACTTTGCAGGAACAGCAGCCTGTAGATGTGTCTTTGTGTGCATCTTTCTTTGGTGACCTTCGCCTGCAGTTATATGATCGATTTCAAAATATGCAGTGTCAACGCAAAAACTTCAAGCAGTTAGCTTCGCCATTTGAAGTCAAATTTGAATCTGCTTCCGAAGATCTTCAGATGGAGCTGATCGAGCTGCATGCAGGGTATCAGTAAGTTGAATCTGAAATACAAGGAAACTGACACCATCCAGTTTTAAAAAAGAGTATCAACAGGATGATGCTTCATATCCAGGTCTGGTGGTGCAGCATGCCAAGAAGATGTGTTGCATGTTTGGAAGCACTTATCTTTGCGAAAGTCTCTTCTCAAAGATAAAGAATGCAAAGAGTCGACTGCAATCTCGATTGGCTTATCAGCACCTTTAAGGCACCTTGCGGCTGTCAACATAAACAATTCTGCGAAATGTTGAGAAGTTGGCCAAGGACATGCAGAACCAAGTTGCGCATTAGCTTCTTGAAATATAATGAACAGTGAACATGTACTTTACATCTACCTTTGTATTTACGAACTGTATCAAAGTTACGGCACATTTACCGATAAATACATTCTTGATGATTAGTTTAGTAGTTAGTTAGAATTTATATATATTAAAATTATACCGTATTTTGAGTTGCGGCCCTCGTATGCATTTTTAAAGTGAAATTTGGCCCCCTGGTTTATAAAGGTTGCCGATCCCTGATTTAAAAGCTTCAAACTAGGTCTGTTCTCCTTTGAGCAAAATCTGCAAAATCCACGACAAGCATTTCCTAATCCAGTTTTTTAAGGATTGAAGCGCATCAGCATTTTAGTTTCTAATTCATTAGGAATGGCTATAGAATGTGAAAGGTCATTTTTATATAAAACTTAAAAAGAGGGCTAATTGTAAAACATTACAAAGAGGCCTGACGGTCTCCTGCGAGGGAAGCGAGCCAAAAATTTTTGCAACCATGCTCTTAGATTAGCTCAAAATTTTCCAAGCATTTGGGAGGGGCTGCCCCCTTTCTTCCCCTCGCTACGCGACTGTTTGTAACTTCATTTTATTAGAAGCCTCATTTTAGTTTTTGTTCTTGGTTTGAGAATACCACAGTGGGGGTGGCTTATTTATATGATTTTGAAAATGGCTTTGTTGATGTTAAATTTGGGATAGGTTAAGGGATGTTGCTTAAGGTGGAGGTGGTTGGCAAATGGTTAATGATTGGAATGGTTTATGAATGTGGTAAATGGTTGAGATGGTTTGTAGGTGAACCTCTAGGATTAAATGGCTTGTAGAAAAAGGAAATGCACAATGAAAGTTTAGTTCAAAATATGACACTTAGGCAGCTCGCAGTCAAAAATTGGCAATGGCTTTAGTTCAAAATATGACACTTAGGCAGCTCGCAGTCAAAAATTGGCAATGGCTTTAGTTCAAAATATGACACTTAGGCAGCTCGCAGTCAAAAATTGGCAATGGCTTTAGTTCAAAATATGACACTTAGGCAGCTCGCAGTCAAAAATTGGCAATGGCTTTAGTTCAAAATATGACACTTAGGCAGCTCGCAGTCAAAAATTGGCAATGGCTTTAGTTCAAAATATGACACTTAGGTGGCTCGCAGTCAAAAATTGGCAATGGCTTTAGTTCAAAATATGACACTTAGGCAGCTCGCAGTCAAAAATTGGCAATGGCTTTAGTTCAAAATATGACACTTAGGTGGCTCGCAGTCAAAAATTGGCAATGGCTTTAGTTGAAAATATGACACTTAGGTGGCTCGCAGTCAAAAATTGGCAATGGCTTTAGTTCAAAATATGACACTTAGGCAGCTCGCAGTCAAAAATTGGCAATGGCTTTAGTTCAAAATATGACACTTAGGTGGCTCGCAGTCAAAAATTGGCAATGGCTTTAGTTGAAAATATGACACTTAGGTAGCTCGCAGTCAAAAATTGGCAATGGCTTTAGTTGAAAATATGACACTTAGGCAGCTCGCAGTCAAAAATTGGTAATGGCTTTAGTTCAAAATATGACACTTAGGCAGCTCGCAGTCAAAAATTGGCAATGGCTTTAGTTGAAAATATGACACTTAGGTGGCTTGCAGTCAAAAATTGGCAATGGCTTTAGTTCAAAATATGACACTTAGGTGGCTCGCAGTCAAAAATTGGCAATGGCTTTAGTTCAAAATATGACACTTAGGCAGCTCGCAGTCAAAAATTGGCAATGGCTTTAGTTCAAAATATGACACTTAGGTGGCTCGCAGTCAAAAATTGGCAATGGCTTTAGTTGAAAATATGACACTTAGGTGGCTCGCAGTCAAAAATTGGCAATGGCTTTAGTTCAAAATATGACACTTAGGTGGCTCGCAGTCAAAAATTGGCAATGACTTTAGTTCAAAATATGACACTTAGGCAGCTCGCAGTCAAAAATTGGCAATGGCTTTAGTTGAAAATATGACACTTAGGTGGCTCGCAGTCAAAAATTGGCACTGGCTTTAGTTCAAAATATGACACTTAGATGGCTCGCAGTCAACAATTGGCAATGGCTCTAAGGGTGAGTGTCTTCTTTTTCCCTCTTGTGGTTCGCCCAATAAAATAAGATATTCAATTGAAAAACTTTCAATCTTCAAGAAGTCATTGTTTGTCTTTAACCTCAGTGATGAGAATGAAGTCTATCAGGTAAATACAAAATTGGAAACAGTAAACAAATAATTCTATATTTTGTCACAGATTAAAATAAACCAGAAAAATTTTCAAATCTTTGTTATTACAATGATGAAATCCAATATCTTCTAAAAGAAGGCACCAAATCTTTGTCATCAGACCTGTGGCAAAAGATCTAGGCCCATTAGCACATGTCTCATGAGGCTAAGGCTTCCTTTCTCTCTAAAATTCCCATATCATCTTCAAATGCCCATTACAATTTCTATGATATCTAAACATATAATTTGATTAGAAACCAGTTTCTTGTAGGATTTGCAGAAAGTTGCTTATTTTACCATAAGCAATATCAGGCAAGCACATTTTGTTCAAAGACAAAATGTGTTAAAATTGCCAGAGTTTTCTCATTTTCAGCTTTTCTAAAATGAGTGCCATAACAAACACATGACTAATCAGGCATCTCATGCCCCCTTTCAATTTGCAATGTTAAATAAGTGGAATGGAGCTTTTGATTGCCCTTTCCCTTCTTATAAATGTCAATGTCAAGCTTCAGAGGGTTTCTGTTTTTTAACCTGACAAAAAAGGTAAAAACAACAGAGATCTTTTTTCAGATATACATAAAAATGAAATTCTCAAAGCATTAACAAAAGCTTCTCAGAGTTCCTTTGCCCCATTTCAACTTGAATTTTAAAAGTATTTGGCAGCAAAACAAGTATGATGTGAAAATAAAGGGCATTGACCATGGCTACAAAAAGTTTAAATATATTACCAACATTCCAAGCATTATGAAAATATTGATAGAACATGAAAAAGAAAATTTGACAACATAGTAGAAGGCACCAACTGCAGAATTGGAGTGTTTTTATACCTACTAAGGAAAAAATATTAAAACTCATAAAAATTTAATCACAATTAAGTTTTTTCTCAATTGGGTTGGGATTTCAATTTGAAATTGTACTTGGCTTCATTTTCCCCCTGTCTCTTTTTTTGATGATATTACATTCATTCTCCACAAAAACCAAATTTCAAACTCTTTTCTTGGCTTTGAGATAACTTACAAGTGTTATAATATTTTGATATTTTGTCAAACATCATAGTTTTACCAAAAGTATCAGAGGTTCAGAATCAATCTCATAATCACTGGTCACTGGACACAGTTTTGACTCATTGTTATATAACATTTAGTACTAAAGCAACACCATTCAAAATAGACAATCAAAAATGCAGTTAGTAGTCTGCTGTTTATGATGCACATTGAAAATCTCTTTGCATGTAACTTAAATCCATAGGAGGAAAAGTTTTAAGGGTATTATTAATATAAAGATAAACTGCAACAATAAAATTATTAGAAATCAACTGAAACTTGGAATAGTACCAATGCAATAAAGAGTCTTTTCAAAATAATCAAGAAAAGTTTCAATTTCAATTTAAAAAAAACTTAGTAATAAGTAGTTTTTAAATATGGTGATCAGCTAATAAATCAAACCCTAGTTGCAGAGTATTGGAGAGAGAGATTCATTAAAACTGGACTGCTGCTACAGGGAAAGAAGGAAGGACTGGTGGTACAGGCCAGACCAGAATACAGTCTACAGTCCAGAGTCTGAGATACTAAAGGACTTACATACTTATTGCCACAAGACATTAAGGATGGAAACCACTGACTTGAAGATAAAACAGAGTTGGTATATATGTAAACAAGTTTGACTGGAGCTCTTATATCATTGTTGTCACCCATCGAAATTATAGTTACAATTCATTGAGATTAATGAAATAATAAAACAGTAAGTAGGCCTGTTGGCTGCTTGCTTTTGATTTAGTTTTAGAAGAAAATACAGGCTCAATGAAAATTGACAGGTTAGATAATGGAGCCGTGCAATTTGAAAGCGTACAACATTCAACGAAGGAGTGCACACAGTGTCAAACACGAGGATTTGAGTCCGATTCTCGTGAAGTCAACCCCTTGATTGTACCAGAACGAAAAAGGCGAGATTCTGATCAAGTTTGAATATGATGTTTCGCAAACCTAATTGCCTACGTATTTTATACTCAATTCCGTAAAAACTAAAGTTTAAAAAGTGTTACGAATCTATTTGCATGTGTATTCAAGAAGGTACCTGTTGATTCTAACTGGAGAAAACTTTACAAGGTTTGTGCAGCCAGCCTTGATTCCCAGGGAATCGCCTACACTTGACCATGTGAGCTTCGTTTTGGTTTGAGTCTATCAGACTGTAACGTTATTTGCCGCGGGTACCCGCGCATTATTAGAACGTCCTTTCACCCGCGCATTATCTTTCCAATCCACGATACTTCCAATAATCCAAGACGTGCAAATTGTCTACTTGCACGCGGATTGTTTTCTCGTAATAATAATTTGCATTTTTCTCATCAATAACCGCGTCTCATTATGAAGCGATGAATTTCGTTACAAAGCAATCCATTTTTATTTCATCTAATCATGAACCTTGAATAATTACAAGTTTCTAGAATACTTTTGGAATTGAATTAATAATAATAATGAAAAACAGAAGAATGTAATAAAAACAAGAAAAAGAAGTAGAAATAAGAAGTAAGAAATAAGAAAAGATAGGCAAGGTTACTGGGTGGCCTTTTTTAATGGCCTTTTGTGACATTTTGTCGCGCGGTCTCACTCCTGTCCCTTTGGTATTCAATATGTTTTCTTAGTGGTCAAAGTTGGGTTTGATTCTGTTAAAACTTCTCAAGTTTGATAATTGAAAAAAGAATCAATTATCATATTTCTTAACCACCTACGTCCGGAAATCAAGACCTTACCAGACAAAGAACTTAATTATCAGGAATAGAAATGTTACAGAAGGAAGAAATAAGTAAATTAAAGAAAGTTTCTGAAATTCCTGCGATTCGAAATGATTTCTCAGAAACAATTCATTAGTCAGAAAATACATTTATTATTCTGGCGCTCCCCGCGAAAAATATCCTTTACAATCTGGTAGGCCTATGATGGCGGGGTCAATTCAATGAAAACCAATATTAATTGCTAGTCGGTAACTTTAAATTGTGTGAAAATCAAAAAAGAAGATTTGCCGAATTCAACATCATATTGACCTTACAGTTTTGACTGTATTCTTATTGTTTTTTGAGTTTGAAAATTCGACACATAAAGTGCATATTTGACACGAGGGGCACCATTTGCATGACAGCGTAAATAACCAATTAATCTAGAACTCAAATGAAAGATTGAAAAACATTTTCCACAAACCTTTATGATGCTTTAAGCCATTATTTACTGTGTTCTTTATCCTACATGCTTTAGAATGACTTCGTTCAAACCACGATAAAATCACGTCCATCTCAAACATCACAAAACCAACTCGCCTCACTTTGCATCTAGTTACACTGAATAGGGATTCCAAAGGGTAGGCTCCTGCTCAGCTTCTTAATTTTGCTGTGAACTTGGGGCGCATTCTTTTATAAAAAGATTATTGATGTCTTTTTTCTTTTGCTCTCGAGAGAATTAAGCTTACTGCAGTACCCGCAAAAACCTCTAGAGACAAACAAGGCATAAAAATTGCTCTATAATCCCAGAGGTACCTTTCTGAATTCGCAAATTCGTCTAATACGCAAATTCAAAAAAATTGTACATCAACAGCAAAAACACTCTTTGAAGCACGGGTTTTACACCTACATAAAACTATAGACTTTGTTCGTCATCAATACGTAAAGAATTGTTGACTTCCCCTGCCTTTTTACAATTATTTCCAACTTTAACATGATATCATCAATTGGTTACATATTCACCTTCGCCCATCGTCATTATCAGCTTTCATTTCCAACATGATTGCCAACGCAGCAGGGTCGTCGCTAATTATTGTGCTCAAGGGGGGGGTTACTCTCATTAGGTCCTGACAGGGGGTCCAGTCGATTTTAGGGTCCTACCAAATGGCTACCAAATATTTCGATAATAACAAAAGGTCTTGGTTTAGCTTGTGATTTATTACAGATAATGAACAAAATTTTATCTTTCCCAAATCAACAACAGTCAATGTTGAAGAAAATTGTCAAAGAAGTACCAGGCGCGTACCGAGGAATGACTAATACCGAAGACATAATTTCAGCCCTTATGCTACTATTTGAGGGTTATTGTTAAAATAGGCTATTATTTGAGAGAAAAAATGTTAACGTTTTCGCTTTGGCCCTCCTCGACCCTGACTGGACCCCTTGTTAGGTCATAATGGGAGTACCCCCTCCCCTCCCCCGGGACAAAATGCTGGCGATAAAAACAAAGCAGATGACGGGACGCTATTCTTACTGTGTTGATTAAAAAAACTGAAACAAAAATTACCGTTACAAAAAAGGTCATACGTGTATGCAACATATAGTCTCGAGAAAAGAATTGTAGAAAACAATGAAGTAAGTATCGTATTTGTTGAAAGAATAAAAATTTCAGAAAGTCTCATGTTTATTGCGCCAGCAAAAGCTGATAATAACTGCATTTATTACCCCCACTAGAAGATCATTGCAATATAATACAATCTTCTTATGTCATAGAAAAAGCAGAAATAAGCATTTCCGACAGTGCTCTTAATTACTGCCACACTCTCTAATACGCAACTCACTTGCGTAATCAAAATTGACTATGTTTGACAGCATTTATTACAATAATATAAAATGCCATGTTTATATAAACCTTATCAGAAAATTACTAAATCTTGTAAAACGACGTTCAATCAAGATATATGAATTAAGAAGACCAAGGTATTGATAAGAACTACTATGATAAGAGCCTTAATTCGCAACCAAAATAAAGTGATAAATGATTATATTACATTTAAGTAAGTTCAGATACAACTCTCTATGACATTGGGTTGACATCGAGATACAAATTACATTCACAATATAAAAATCTTGTTCGGGAGACGAAACTATCAGTCCTCTGTTTCGAAACAATACCATTGTAAACCAATCCGTGTTGCGGGGTCATAGCACATGCGCATTAATAACAGAATTCGCACAGCTGTTTGAAATTGTGTCTGTCTGCGACCACAAAAATTTTGAACTTCCTGCCAAGGCTTCAAGTGATAATGCGCATGTGCAATGACCCCAAAACGGGGGCTAGTGCATGTCTGGCAGACAGGCATGATTCATCTCCCGAACAAAATCCTCGACTTACTTTGCAATTTATTTTATCTTTTGAAGGGGGTGGATCTTAAATAAAGTACGTGCACCTAGAAAGAGGATTCCATGAAAAAGTATGATCATGATACTGGGGTAGATTTAAGGTTAATGGGGTATTTTGGTAGATACTTCACATTAATGAAAACAATCTGTACCACAAAATAGTTGTTTGCAAATGCCATCTTTAAACTTTAGGTAACAGGCTCACAGCCTCAAAAAACACGAGGGTGAGAGTGGATCAGGAAGTTTGGAAGCACACACTTTATTTTTGCCCCCTCCCCCCTGCCCGTCTTGCCGAAAAAAGCGTTCTTCTTTGCTGTTCTTGCTAGCCAGTTAAGCACCTAAGTCATTGTATTTGGGTATCGATTCTATTGGCTCTACGAAAAAGACAGTCAATAACAGTAATTAACAGTTGTGCATAGAAATAAACATAAATTGTAGCGGATCTCTTGACAAGATAAATTAATCAACGATATAGGTAGATATTGATGATAAAATAATGTCTTATGGCATTTTGGCCACATGCCGCAACGGGTTGTGATATTGTCCTGAAGAATACAGGTAGAAAGTCCTGAAGAAGAATTTTTAATGATAAATTTGAGCCTGAATATTTGCTGCTAGATAATTTGAAACCCTAAGAAGGCCAAAGGAAAAGAACGAAGAGATCACCAGTGGTCATATTTTATAATGAATGACAATAAATTGAGTGAACACAAATTTCTAGGGCTGCTAACATGAAAAATGTCAGCATTTGTCAGTGGAACGGACCGTGTTAGTGGAACGGAGAGTGTCATCTAAGTGAACCGACAAAAACTTTTAGACCACTTCTTCATGGCTACTTTTGCTCGTAAGGAAATTTTACCTTCCTTGTTACTTTGTAATCTTATAATAGATGAAAATTTCCGTGATTTAATCAACAAAATCTGATTAAAATTTTCATAAAAATTTGTATAATAACTCCACACAATGCTGCGTAGCAGTCAAAGCAATGTCTAAACCAGTCTTACCTTTTTTCTCTATATAACAAACAACTAATAATCAGTGCAATAAGAAAGAGCGATGAACCAGCTGCTGAAAATGCAACAATCAGTGTTGATGTATTCTCTCTTTCAGCTTCTAGAACAAGATTAAAATTTGAACAATGTCAGAACAAACCGAAGAATAACTTTGCAATAAAGGCAATGATTGCTTTAGGTATAAATCTAAAAGCAATACTGATAATTTGATTATTTATTCTATTTCTAATATTGTAAAATTAATCTTGAAAGAAATAAGTCTATTTGTTGTAGTAGTTTAGAATTCTACCATAAATTCTTTTCGCCACCACCCTTGATCGATCTCGAGCATATTTTTGCTCCATAATTTCCAGGACCCAAAACAAATTTTTTTTAACAAGGCCGAAGCTACTGGGGCTCGTGTCCCTTCCAAAAATTTACAAAAAACCTTTGTTTTCAATGAACAGTCTTTGCTGTTCCTACATTGATGAAACAATGATGACTCTACAATAATTATATTCTTCCTAAGGTAGTTGTACGTCCGTGTCTAACTTGAAACAATTTCAAAGTTATATTCCTAACTTTTGGATCATTTTAGTCACAATTTCTCCTTGTTATAGTAACTACGATAATAGAGTTTATTTTTACATTTAAAGATGCAGCAGCTGATGTTTGACATACCCCTTTTGAAGCAAGAATTCCCTGTCAGTTTCGAGGTTCCTCCGCTTGTTTCCATAGGCGAATTAATTCTTGAAGCTAAACTATTCTTAACTTCCTGCTTCGTTTGATTGATGTTGATTTCATGAGGGGCAGACTGCACTGTTGTTGGTGTGTTAACGATAGAATACGTAAGAGGGCTTTCTACACTGGTCAATACGATGCTCTTTGCAAGCAGAAGAGTAGTAGGAGCATCTACTTTTGAGTGGTCTATTCCGATTTCAGAACTAGCGCTTGGAGCACTCGTGACGTCAGCAAACGAGCACTCACATCTTTCCATTGTGGAGTAAATAGCATAAAGACTTGGCGAGGAGATTTGCGGAACAACATCACTGGATTGCAATTCACATGATGACACGGTGACTGTAGTGAAGTTTGGTAGTTCAATACAGGCTTGCGTTGTAGAAAGGGAACCAGAAAGGGAAGTTGAAGGACCAGTTGAGTCTAGAGAAAAAGCAAAGAATATCTGTACAGCGGAAGAAAACTTTAAAAGATCAACGTTAGATTTATCTCCTCAGCAAACATTCGCATCTTTCGTATTTTTCTGAAAGCTTTTTGGCTTCAAATATTTGGCACTTTGCATGCCTTTTATCTCTGAAAGCCTTTAGAGATGTTGCTTCAAACTGATGACAAAACTGTGACGTGTTATCTTATCGGAAAGTTTCAGAGGCTTTAATCTTTGAGACTGCCACCAGTTTCATAAAATACTACATTTAAATCCATGATTTTTAACACACTTGGATAACTACATTCAAGAGAAAGCGAGCATTTGAAGCTCAACAGCGTTGGAATAACGCACCCGGTTTAGTAGCAATCCAAGTAAGGTTGAATCCACTCTCTTCATTTTTTGCATCGCTGGAAAATTTGATCTCCATCCATCCGGACTCTGATGAAATAAGACCTGGGTCACTAAGACAATACCTTTCCCAGGGAGCAGTGGTAGAATTACGGACCTGGACATTGTCTTTGGTGCAGCCTATGCTAGCTTCCAAGTTCAGAGCTAGAAATGTGATGTAAATCGTGAACCCCTCTTCGACTGTGATGTTCCAGTGGCAGGAGATATTCTTCGGGTAAGGATGCGGAAAGTTTGGACTAGCTATGAAACCGGATCTGCCGTGGACTTCAAATCCATAGTCTGTAAAAAGAGGCTAAAAAGACTAGAATCTGGGAGAAATTAAGAATTTTCAATAAAAAAAGAAAAAAGAAAGATAATAATTTGTAAAAGAAAGATTCAATCAATTTCTGTTTTGTCTATGTTTTAAATGACCCTTTGCCATTTCATTTTAATGAGGGCTTCACTTAACAATCAATAATTTGTTACCAACCTGATAAAGCATAGTTTTTTCTTTGGCACGCTGCGAAAAGCAAAACAACGAGACAGATGGTGTGTTTCATAGGTGCCAAATAGTTTCTCATATCTTTTCTCCAATAGGTTTTCTCTTTACTTCATTTCGCATTTAAGAAAATTTTTCAACTATCTTCGCAGATCAGTGACAGCAAAAAACGTTACTAGTCTCCTCTTTGATGGCGAATTCTTGATTGATTAATGGTCTCATCTAATGTTTCCTTTGCATTCCAAAATTAAGCTGGAGTCGAATTTCAAAACGACCTCCTCCTTGTTGTTCAGCGCTTTCGATGCATTGGTCCGCAGTGGTAGTTTCATAGAAGTAATAATACTGTTGGAAACTCAGGTTAAATTTTGCTATTTTCCTCGCAATAGCTCAGTGGCAACCTGTAAGCTCAGAAAAGCCCAGCGTTTTGCACAATTTCTGCTATGACACAGACGAAATGCAGAATTCGACCCTCTCATAGTTGACGCACCTTGTATCGTTTTATGAATATTTTTCTGCTTTGCTTTCTTCAACAGTACGAGATATAAAATGTCATACATGCGAAGTCTATTTAATGAAGCATTTTTTGGAAAATTATATTTGACAGCATTGTGGTACAGGGACCGCAACTAATGGGGCGCTTGCTGGACAATTTTCCTTAGAATTCTCATTTATACATTTGTTATTGGAAAAAATCAAAAGCTCGCAATTGTAAAGATCAAGGCCAGACCCCTGTTGGTAGATGTAAAATAGACAAGACATAATGTGTTCCAATTAGAATAAGGGAACCTACAGTAAGCGTGAAGGTAAAGAACACTACCTCCCTAACTTCCGCAGCACAGTTTCTGGAGACGAGTTCAAAGATATAGTCAAACTTACCATAACCAAACAAGAGTGTTTATTGCAAAAAGGTGATGTTCATTGAATGCACATTCTTTGATATACCGAGAATTAGATGAAATGAATTCACGTGTGCGGGAAGGAATGAAGCTCTGACGGGAAGGTGGGGAAGATTTGAAACCGAGTGGAGATGTATTTTACACTGGTGAAAAATGATTTTCATGTCAAATATCAAATAAATTCACATCCAAAATGATGCAAGATACATAAGTATGTAATTACCATTGGTAATGCTATAGGGTATTTAACTTCAATAGGATTTGCACGCTTCCTAGAAAAAGGGGTATGTACCCCCAATTGATTTCTTGGCTCCTTTGTCTACAGGCGGATAAATAAAGGTAAAAGCGGTAGTAAAAGGAAAAAAAGAGATCGATCATTTTGAGAACCTGAGGTCATCTCTGCTTGCAGCTCCATGACATGTTTGGAGCAGTCTAAACAATACAAGAGAGTGTTAATACCCCACTGTTTGATTTCTGCTTAGTTTGGATTGAAAAGGATTTACGGTATTGTGTCATATTTACGTAGGTAATACCACATCGCATACTGCATCTTTGCTTGGTTCTGGTAAATCTCTATTGAGCTGGTTAAAATAACATGAAGTACTTAGTGAGCATTTGCGTCAAGGCTTTAAAAGGGGCGAAATAAATTTGGCTGGAAAATAGCATTTTACAATACTTGTCAATCGTTTTGATATGGTTGGTATCCTCATATTCTTGCGTATCGACTGGTGCATGGTTTAATCAGATTCCATTAGCTGTTTGGCTTTTGGAAGAGAAAATCAAATATCGTGTCAAAAATTTTAACCGTGACCTTAACTTAAATGTCAGCACAAAGATTGTCAGATTTAGGGATGATTTTTAAAGTTTGAGAAAAGGTATCAATCTGATTTATTCTTATATTAGACTTACTCTAACAAGGCAAAAAGTATTCTGGATAACCTAATTGTTTCACGGACAACAGCAGTGGCGGCGCCAGCTACTGCAGAGTGGGAGGGTAATGGGTGTTGCCCATGAGACCACGTCCTACTGGCCTTGTTTCAGTGCTTTGTATCAGGTCGAATTTCTTAGGAAATATGATTTACCCTTACCTAGTGCTTTTTAATTCGTTTTTAGACGAAAGATGTAGACCATGTTTCGACAAATATGGGGGGGGGGTAATTACCCCTCTAACCGCCCCTTGTCGCCACCACTGGACAACAGCTGTTTAATCTGTTCTCCTAAATTCTGTAAGTAAAACACTACAAAACTTAACAGAAAGGAAGTGGTGATTTTTTCTGAATAATTGCAGAACAATCCGACAGTATTTTGTTAAGTGCATTTCAATATTAGTGTATTTCTTATGAGTTTCTTAATTATGATGTCATGAATGATGTTACGAAATGTTCGTGACCTTTTTTCTCACGTCAAGAGATTCGCTTCCGTTCTGATGCTGATGTGGAAAGAATATTTTTATCCCTTGTGTCTTACGTTCTAGTCCAACAGAGCAATCATGTTCTTGTATTTTACAAAATTTCGTTGTTTCAAAATTTTGTAATAGTTTCTTAACTTTTTTGCTTCGAGTACTGAAGTTTCTTAATTTTTTCTGACTGTCCAGTACTCGTTTCTTATAGCCAGTTTCTTATAAAGAAATTGGGTGTAGCCTTCCTACAGAAAAACCACGCTTTTCTATTTGTTGTCTATAGGAGACAACTTATTGGTGTCTCTGATTTTATTGCCTGTATGTTTAGCTATAGATTATGTCAAAGTTTTTGATGTGTCAAATTGGGAGAAAAGCATTTGAGTAAACTTGTATCATCTTTGCAGAGGATCCTACCTATGTTAGAATATAAGGGGTCAAGGAAAAATTAAGGCTGTAGCTTTCCAAACAAACCCCCAACATTCCTGTCACCGGGTCACCGGGGAAGCCATGGCCCTGCTTAAAAAACTTTTCACGATAAAAAACTAGTCTTAGACTGCTGCTTGTATTGATTATATAAAAATATAAAGGAACTTACTTTCAGTGTTACTTTCAAGTTGAGCATGCTCTTAAAGAAGGAAAATAGCAACGGTTCGCATTTTTCAACATCAATCAGTCTTGCTTTAGGAAGCAACATTTAACAAATAACATTTAGCAAGCAACATTTAGCAAGCAACATTAAGCAAGCAACATTTAGCAAGCAACATTAAGCAAGCAAAATTCAGCAGGCAAGTTTCAGTAGAGAAGGGTGCGAATTATAATTGAAGAAACATTTAGCAAGCAACATTTAGCAAGCAACATTTAGCAAGCAACATTTAGTAAGCAACGTTTAGCAAATAACACTTAGCAAGCAACATCTAGCAAGCAATCTTTAGCAAGCAATTTTTTTCAAGCCAGTTCCAGCATAGAAGGGTGCAAATTATAAGGCGTGTCTTTTATGAGTTTGGCATCCTTATACAATACTCGTGAAGCATAAATTTTCAATACTTTACTTAATCAGAAATCTGTAATAAATTAATGTACCATTCGGATCCTTAATAATCAAATTTGGCTATATCACTCTTTTGTCTTAGCATTTACTTCAGTTACAGTACCTTGTTGAACTATCTGCCTGTCTGGAGCAACATATGACAATGCACCGTCGAATACCTAGTCATCACCACACTTCACACTTGTGTCTCTGAATGGCCAAATACATTTTTTCAGCAAGCAGCATTTGGTTTTATACATAAAGTTGTAGGTCCTGGGTATCCCCAGGCACTCAAACAGCTACAATGTGGCGCACTTTAGTAATACTCTTCCGTTGAATCTGACAAATTATCATCATAATTGTTGTCTTTGCTGCAACCATCTGAAGAAAAAGAGCATACTGATCTTATTGGCCGAAAATAGCATGAATGCAGGGGGCAAGAGGGGGGGGCTGTCCATATCTTTTCAGTTACGCCTATTGTAAGTAACTTGAAATCATTGTAAATTGAAAGGCCTGTTTTGTTTTAAAAATTCAAGGCACGGAGACTTGAATTCCTATATTCTAAAGACACTATGCATCGAAAGGGAGGGACTATGAATTTTTTTAAAGATTTGCAACAATTTTTTCGTTTTAAAGCTCCTTTGGATCCGTACACTCTTTTCTTCAGAATCCTTTAAGTTTTATCCTATCTCGAAATTCTCAAGAAATTTTTTCTTCGAGCCTGAATGTATTCTTGAAGAATTCTTATCTTCTTCTAATCTTATATTGTTTCAGAAGCACATCATCTGCCTTCAAATAAAAGACCACGCTAAGACGAGATGTGTCAGTCTCTGTTATAAACATCGAGGAAAAAGCAACTGCTGACAAATGAGACTCAAAGTTGCTAAGGCTAGGAAATATTTTTTTAATATTCTTGAAAATGTGTTAACTCTGAGCCTTAATATTCTTATAAACAATTTCATTATAAATAATATATGTACTAGCATATGATTTTGAAACTGATAAAAATTCAGAATTTTAGACATGGTTGAGGGAAAAGGTAGTATGGGTTTGTAGAATGGGTAAAGACTGATTTCAGGAGCAGCAAATTCTAGCAAAGTTTTTAAAACTGTTTAATTAATTGATATACATAGAAAGGCAATACATTAAAAAATTAATAATTGAGAACCCTTTCTTTGATCATTTTAATTCTCATTCGTATCTTCAATTACATTCCGACAAATTACTTGAGCAAAGCAAAAGAGGATTGGACATTTGAAATTCTAACATCAACAATAAAAAATCTACCAAAGTATTGCTGCAATCTTATCTACTGAACAGGTGAACACAATTTTTGGTATGACAAACTCTCAGATCTCAATTGTGTTAATTAAAAGATCTCAGATCTCAGTTGTTAATTAAAAGGACATGATTTCTCACAAATTCGCCAGTCAACCAGATAAGTGACTTAATGTCAACGAATTTTACTAGATTTGAATGTAAAAGAGCAAAATAAGTCCGTGTAAGAGATTCAAACTAACACATAATACTCTCACCTGACTGTACGACCAAATAATGTTGACGCGAATGAATCAAGTTAAAGGCGCCATCTTCTAGCATATTCCCCTGACACGGTTGCATATAAACATCAGTTGGTTTGCTGAAGGTTTCAGAAGCACAAATCGAAGGAATATTGCACCGCTTTTTAGGCTGACCCAACACTCTGCCATCAGTCGATACAATTATGACGTCACCGTCAACTATACGAAAACCTTGAGGTGAATGACGGGCAGGTGAGTGCCCGGTTGACCAAAGATCCCCTGGTTTTAGGTCAGCATGACCCTTTTTGCTGGCGATCGTAAAATGTGATTAGGTATAGAACAGAGGCATATAACATAATAGATACATATAACAGTTGTAAATGTGTACTATTTACTCCACTGCTACTTCATATAAGACAAACCACCATTTCTTTGCCGTTTACAATGAGATATATACATGGAGCAGTAGGGACAACAAATCAACGGCATATGTATATTAATGTTGACGGGTAAATCTGTCTCTTTCTCTTATGATACAGCATTGATGCACCGAATTAAGGGCTGGCATACATAAAAAAGCTATGTCAGGATTTAATGCTTTGCTATAGGTAGGCTGAAATAAAGCTTTGGTGGGCACTTTATTAATCATGTACATACAAACTTGTAAACTTTGCGAGTCCCTGCATACAAAGTTGGATACCTTCGGAGCTTCTATATATAAAATCGAGTTCTTTGGGAGTCCAGAATATTATCTCAGTTGATACGAAAAGCTTTACAGATGAAAACAATAGACCATTTTATTAATGCCCGTAGGCCTCAAAAACTCTGTACGTAGGTCTGAAGAGTGGAGCTTACCTTGCAGTCACGTGTCTGCGACCAGTTAGTACTATGATAATAATGGTGACTATTGACAGCAAGACAAGAAAACTGCCAAGTAATATGAGCAGACGTCGATTTCTGGAAGCGAGATCTGCAATAAATAATCCTTCATATGAATGTCGTGATATTTAATCGATGAGATCCCCTACCCTACAACCATCTAACCCATATCCCTTACCATCAAAGTTAAAATGCAAAACAAAGTGAAGTTTGATTCTCTAGAAAACGATTTCTTTAAAATGATCACCTGTATACAGGCACCACTAAGCGTTGAGAAAAGTAGGGGGTCTAAAAAAAGGGGGGGGGCTAAAACCGCATTAACAGAGGCTTTACTGGTAGTTTATTACTTAATATTTGGCATTTTTTGCTAAAGACCCATTCCCCCAGCCCCCTGCTCCACGGCGCCTAGTATAAAAGAATCACTTTGCTAGAAAGAGGTTAACTATAATTTGCTCCGTAAAGGTGGTTCTCCATGTGCCTGCATTAAATTGCATTAAAAAGAAATTTCAAGGCGACTTGAATTCAGTTAGACTCGACAAGCATTATCAATTCACAAACGCGTATCTTCTGTAGTTCCTGATGAAATGTTATGCCCGAAACGTCTGATAATCAAATCATCGGGCTATATATTCATAATTGTAACTTGCATGTATACCTTCTGTATGTTTTGCTGAATCGCTGTCATATTTGTCATGTTTCTCGGGTGCCTTTGTGCTATTAGGCTGAGCCAATCTTACAGCGTCTATGGGCCTTAAAGATCCTTGAGCAAGATGGTTTTTTTGTAATGCGATCATATTAACAGTTCTTGTAAAACTATCTTGCACTGTTGTATCGCAGGAACAGTTGGTACCCATCTCAGAGCTAGACGCGAGGCCTTTTGGAAAAGACCTCGAGACGTACTTTTGATTCCCTTGATATAAATCCCTATTGGGATCTGTGAAAGAAAAAAGATTGATCGATACACTGTGGAATCGTGGAAACTGCACATTTCAGTACGATACACTGTTAATAGAAAATCACCAATTTCTTCTACTCTATGGCTCCACTACTCTGAAATCCAAAGAAGGCCCCTTGGATTATTTTCAATGCTCTAAACATTTCTTTCCTCTTTCAACCACATGGCACCTGATATCTAGAACCATTGAATAAAGCTACCACTCCCCAATACCTATATTTGGACATTCTATAACAGGTTAAAGAGATATGCTTTCTATACAAGGGAAAAGTGCTATGAAAAAGAGTTTACAACGTAAAGTGTAACACAAAATATCAGAAGTACAAATGTTATATTTTTGATTATTTCTAGTGTACCCTCTTGCACTAAAACTCTCTCTCTTTAGGGTAGACAATAAATAAAACAGTAACATTTTCGACTTTATTTAATTTCTGCACTGAACTCAAAAATTTTTCTTTGGTTGCATTCAGACCTCCAGGAAAAAATCATTTTCAGAAAAGGCCAAATAAAGTCAAAATGTTTTTGGTATTGTTCTTATATCACAATATGACAGAATTCGTGAAAATATAAGATAATTTTTTTTTCAGGAACATTAATGGTTCAGGAACATATGAATGTTGCCATATGGAATGAACTGATTTAACATATTCGCCTATTCGTATCAGTTTTGGTAATTATGATTCCTGTTAGACGATAATGATTCGTGTTTTATGGCGATGATAACGGTTTTCAAATTATTGTCATAAAAAGCTGCAGATTTCTTTGAAATTCCATTAAAAAGAAAGCTATGAAACAATGAGATTAACTACGCTGTCTTTTGATGTCATCTATTTCACGTTTTTAACAGAGAACTGCTCAGTTGACCGCATACTAGGCATATTATTAATATTTCAGATACTTCGCAGTATTACCTGGTTTGACAAGTGGCCTTCCTTTAACATCAGCTGCTTTCCACTGTGCAGTGAAACCCTTGTCAACCTTTCCAAGTTTGTCCGAGGCAAAAATCACTTGAACCTTGTTTCCTTCGGACAAGTAAATCTGAATGGTACCATGACCACAGAATCTTGAAGATAACTTTCCCCAGCCATTCCTCGATTCTTTTATCACAAGATAGTCGTAAAGACATTTCTTGTTCTTTTCCACTCTGAAATCAGTGAAGTTAAGAAGAATACGCGCGCCAGATACAACAGATATGGTCCACCGGCAAGTCATATCCACCGGATAGTTCTTCGGGTAATTTGGAGTCGAAAACTGTCCATAGTCACTTGCTATTTCGAACTGTAAGCCTAATGTAAAAGCAGAGTGAGAAATTTTTAGCAATTGATATATTACTAGGCATTAAACTGACTGCTAGATCAGTCAGATTTTGGCAACTATATCCAGCCTTTCTTTATTGTAACAAAAATGTGACTATAACCAATGAAAAGCAGGTAAATCCGGATTTTCGTTTCAGGCATTAACAATGATTTTATCAAGACAGGACATGAATATTCAAAAATGTTTATTAGTTTTCCACAAAAATTACTAGAATGACAATTTGAAATGACAAAGTCACTTTTTTCTGCCATCAGCAGTTCTTTAGCCTTAATAAATTTCTCGAAGTGAGCCTTGTTTCTTGATCTTCAAACAGGCACGTGAGACAGTTGCACTAGGTACATGTTTACGTCATATTATCGTTGGAAACAATAAAAGATAGCAGACTTACTTAAACTAATTGCAACACCAGCAACACTCAGCAAAATCGTGGCGTTAAACACGATATTTATTACTTGCATCTCTGATGCAGTTTCGTCGCCTTGGACTCTCTCTCGATTACCATGCAAAACGCTACGCTCAGATTTACGTTGGATTGTAATATTCATCTGCCTACTGAGAGGTTGAAAACATATGCAACCATGTTGATCTTAAGAAGCATGATAAATTGCCGGGGGTCCAATGGCAGTGTAATGGTCTCTAACGTGCTGTGGTTGGTGTGTATGTGGTAGTTGTTGATAAAATACGGTATTTATTAGAGTACTAACAGGTCATACTTAAAAATAAATAAAACAATACCGTGTTCAAATTTAAAAGCATCATAAAGATTGTTTTTTCTTTCTCAGCTTGAGTCTTTAAACCCTAAGAACTTGCAAATGTACTTTTACAATCAAATAATTTTTGCCCTTAGCTATCACTTCAACGAAAAACGTTTCAGCAAATCCACAGATCGTTTTACCGTACTTGAAATGGCTTTGGGGTCTATTTCAAATTAAATGCATCGAGGCAGAGAATCAATCTTGTACAAAAGCAGTCTTAAAACGTGATTCCTGATAAACGATATTTGGAAATGATTCCTGAAAAACATTACACGTTTTTATAAGGAATTATTTTATAAGAAAGTTGTACTCGGTTCTTCACAAAGTTAAGTAAGTCCAGGGATAGATCATTGAAACCTGAGAAAATTGAAAAATTTTGATATTCAAAGTTTCAAAGAAAATCGTGGCGCAAGAGTGAAATATTTGAACAATACAGTAATGTGCTGAACTGGAAACGACGAATACAGTATGACGTTGAGGGTTTTCAAGAAGTATAGCATACAGTATTTCTAGAGTTTCATCTTCTCCATCACTGCGCATGCTTAGTAGCGTAAAACTTTCCAATTTTACGTTAAGAAAGTGTTAAAAAAGCTTTAGTGCTGAAATTAGGAAGTTGCTAAGGTATCCTGAGGGCTGGGCTGAAAAAAACATTCTTATAAAAAAACGTGTAATTAGTATAATGCTGTGATTTTCAGCACCGACCTCTGTCTTCGCTTTTAAACATTGATATAACTGCTTCTTGCTTCTACCTGCCCAGAGATAAGAATTTTATGCAAAGAGTGCATTTTGAGTAAAGAGAAGAGTCAACGCTTGTTCGCTCAAAACTATTGTGCTTCCTTGCATCCAAAAGAGGGCCAGCTAATCACATGGCAATATATCTCGGGTCATCTTTAGAAACTTGATTACTTAGAAAAGAGATTTTTGAATTTACGGAAAGTGGTAGTGGCCTCGAACCGGCGCATGTCTGCCCACTGTGAAATGAGGCAACCCTGTTATTCATTACAGGGACGACACGTACTAAGAATCTGACAAGTTAACTACCGGAAAATTTGAAATTTCTTTGTTTTTGAACAAGACATTTTAGTCTATATGATCATTTCTATTTAAGTCTTTATGATAAATAGAACATTGAATCGTCCAAGCAAATTTCTACACTGCCTTGCGAATTCCAGTGACAGGGCGCTGAACGACTTATTCCAAAGCACATCTTTGCTCTTTTCGGCGATAATTCGTTTTAATCTTTACCCCCCGAAAAGCTTATTTTGATGGAATAAAAGGCAAATCTCGTTAACGTGGAGCAGCAATGTGATCGAGATGAATACTTAATTGAATCTTGTAGTTGATTACATTAAGTTGTAATACGGAGAGCACAATGTTTTGAAACTGTCTTAGAATCAACAGAACATTGATAAAATTTTTGATAAACTCAATTATCATAGTTCAAAACATGAAGAAAACAGTATACAATGGAACAAAGTGACTTGGCATAAATCCTTTTGCCAGCTGAAATTTCAAAAATCACGAAAATATTTCTTTCATGATCAAGAAGCAGTGAAGTGGCCAATCGCTATGACAGAAGCGTGCTTTCTGATTCAAAATGTCACATGATCATGATTAGGGTTTCATAATGATGATTTGTGTTTTATGTTGGTGATTTGTGTTTGACAATGATGATCGTTTTTGCGATGATGATACGTGTTTGATGGTGAAAGTTGATGTTCGACGATGATGATTCGAGTTTGATGATGATGATTCGAGTTTGATGATGATGATTTATGTTTGACGATGAAGGTTCGTGTTTGATGATGATGATTTTTGGTTCGACGATGATCATCCATGTTTGATGATGATTATTTGTGTTTGATGGCGATATTGATTCGTGTTTAATGATGATGATTTATGTTTGAAGATGATGATTAGGTGATAACTGTTTTATGATAATGATCGTGTTTGACAACGACGATTCGTGATAAACAATGGTTTTGGTGTTTGATGAAGATTATTTGTGTTCGAAGATAATGATTCATGATATTTGATAACTTTATGATCATGGCAGCTAATAATAATAGTGATCATGCTGATGGCTAGCATCCTTAAAAGCGGCTCTAATCCTTATCATAACTTCCAGAAAAAGTGCAATTCAGCAACTCTCCATACAACCCAACTTCTAACACGACACACCTCCATCTCGCTTTTTGAACAATGTTGATTCTCAAACTCAGCAAATTCTCATTCTTATTTGATTGACGTGCAACTTGGCATACCAAAAAGCATGTTCAAAAAGCATTACCGCCAAAATATTCAATTTTTTTTTATGAAGGGAGGCTGCATGCAATATTTAGGCAAATTCTTCAAGTGTTTTGGCAAGGATTGTAACGCTGCTGAAGAATGCTTTGTTTGGGACCATTTAGAGCAATACCGCGTATGTTTTGATATAGATTTTCGTATGACTGGGAAAACAGTACCAAAATCAATCCTCTTTATGTTTGATAACCATCTGCCCTCCAATACGATGTTCTACCGAAATTTCTGGCCATACCATACTTGATCTATGTAGAAAACCCAGGTTCCTGGTATGAAGTTGATAAAACAAGATCATATAATTAACCATAGTGTTTTGCCACGGCTTAAAAAAATCTCATGATTTGATCCTTATTTTGTTGCATAAGATAAAAAGCTTGAAATGAATAGGGGCCTTAGTTTTAATGTGGATTTTCTTTCAGCATTGCAGATGAAAACAAGCTTTCAAGAGACTAATTAGAGTAAAATTAGGCACTGGAAGGGTGTTTCTGACAAAGCTAAAAAGATTCGATAACATTAAAACATCACTTGAAATTGCCAGGTCAGTTTACTGAACAAAGTTTGCATAAACCTTGAAGCTCTCCTTGTGTGATTGGACCCTCTTACTGACTGAAAACGCCATCTCTCAATTTTTTTGGAAAATCCTTCCAAATTCCTTCTAACTTCTAATTATTTTTTAATTTCCCCTTTATATTTCTTCCAATCAGCCAAAATTCTTCCTAAAAAGATAAATTCTTCCATGTGAAGACACTGATATCTATGTGCAAGGACCCAAGCAAATGAATTTTAATGGATAATTTCAGTTCTCATAATATGTTTTCCTTAAAATTTCGACGTTACCATCCAATACATAATCAAATCTTTAACTTCAAATGATACGACATTATTAAAATTGTCAAATAATCTGACCACAATTCTATCTTATCTTAGTTCATGCACAGATACAGTGGCGTAAGAGAGACATCTGAGGCCGCAAAGAGAAAAACTGAGACAGGGCCACTAATATCAAACTGACGGAAGTCCAATCCAACAAGAGCAAACACAACAGAAAGATGCAAAAGAGACTTTCTTTGTCAACTAGTAGGTGCTGAGTAAAGATTTCAAAAATGAGGTAAACTTGAGCGAAGTCATAGAAATATATTTAAAAATAATTCAGGGGTACCTTTAGGTTGGGGGCTCTTAGTTATCGAACTGAGGTGCACTAACATGACTTATGCCACTGTCTCTTGGAGTCTGACCTGCTACCTATATCACCGACCTGAAGCCTTGCGAAAAGTTGCTCAAATTGCTCCAGAAATAATGAAAATATAATATTCTGTTCAACCCACAATGCCTCTGGCTCGTTTACCTCCCAGCTTTTAACTGTTGTATCAGTTGCAGACACACTTGAATATTGAGCATCTCTTTAAGTTGCTTTGACAACTCTCTTTTAAATCTGCATGCAAGCATAACTTAACAGTCTAACTAATATTATCAGCCTCTCATCATTTACATTTTATGAGAATTTGATTGAAGCTTGAAGAAAATTTTGATGTTTCTTTCCCTGCAAATAGTCATAGGAGTACCAGGAAAATTAACTGCTTCCGATAGGAAAAACGAAAACTGAATCCCCTTCTTCCTTAAAAAATGTTGGCTATAACCCCCTAATGAGACAAACAGATTAAATAAGGCCCTCCCTATCTTTAAAATTTGCCCGATTGTTGATCAGACTTATAAATTGACTTTAAATATTCAGATGAAAATGATGATATCATCATTAAGAAAGTCTTCTTTAAAACATGATATATAACCAGTATATCAGACTTTAGAAGCTGCTCGTAATGTTTCATAGATGTACACCAGAATAAAACCAAAAAAGACAGAGAAGAATTCCCTCTCCCCAGTAAGCCCTCTACTTTTAGACACGTCCCCCCTCCAAGTTCTCGGGGGGGGGGAGTCAATTTTGTTTTTTGTCTAAATTCAATGAGAAAATTTTGGAGGAGGAGTAATATTTTGGCAACGTACTTCTTGTGATATAATCTTATGACTTTGAAACTGCCTTTACGTAACCAAAATAAAAAGTTAGTATTGGGCTTTCCGTATTTGTAAAATTGGTGTTCCTTGTTGGTATAGGAGCGTTTCCCGACATTAAAAAGGACGTGGTCTAACAACTTTTGTTTTGCCGCACCCCCAGCACCTAGTAGCTGGCGCCACCTCGAGTGCAGTCTACCAGACTTTTCCGGGGGTTGTAGGAAGATGGGTAGAGGCCTTATTCTTTGCATCAGATGTGATGATGCCTGGTGCTGAAGTCACAGTGATGACTGCCAGTGCGAATTTTTAAACAATGTCTTCACATTTTTCTGACTCAAAATGTGACCAATTTCCTTAAACACCCTCCTTCATTTCTATCCAGAAATATTTTCGTTGGTTGTCCGATAAAACACTGATGACAGAAGGAACTTGTTTCGCACTTCCATATTCTTGTGTGATTCCACATGAAGATTTCACGTACTTAAATACCACTGCCAAGATTTACTTTCTGCTTTAATATTGAAAGAATTAACATCAAGTTTCTCTATATTTAACACCACTTCGGAGAGGTAGAAAGGAAACAAATCGCAGCAATGTTAGGTAGCACTGCTAGCTACGTGGGGAAATTGAAACATCATCAACAAACATTTCAGATATTGCCATTTAACTTTTGAAATATAAGAATATGAATTTTTTATAGAAGGGAGTGAAATCTAATATCAATTGTTTTCTTTTAATTTGGACGCACAATGCATCCTTAGCCACGCTCAGTGAATCCTTAGCCACGACCAATGCATCCCGGACCACGCACAATGCATCATGGACCACGTACAATGCATCTTGGACCACGCACAATGCATCCTGGGCAGGAACTGAGATTCCATCAAGTAGGTCATCCTTCCTTAGGAACCATTTTCTCAAATTTGAAGGCTTTTCTCAATAAACAAAGCAAACAAGGCGGGAACCTTAAAGAAAATATAATGCCCTAACCTTTCTCACTGTTGGCAGTTTGACTACAATTTTTCCAGACTTTGGTTAGAAGGGTCATTCTACTTCGCCTCCTCTCCGCATCGAGGTCACTGTGCTTGCACAGTTTATTACGTTCTGATGTGAGATATCTTCCGGTCACATGATCCGAGCCTCGATGCGAAGAGAAGGCGGTAGTAGCAAAGTAACGCCAAGAGTTTACTTTATTTATCCTGTTATCAATGGCATGGCGAAGGGAAAAGGGAACGCCCCCCCAAAGCACAGAAAGTTGGTACCTGAAAAATTTTTACAACAACAACAATATTTAGTACCTCAGGGAGAGGGGTTACATTTCAGACAATATGAAAACATTCTTAATGACTGCAAGCAAACAACCATAAGAATAACCATATATTTCAAGCTAATCTAAAGGACGTGATGGCAAAAATTTCTGCTTGCTTCGTTCGCAGAGGGTCCTCGTCTGTACCTCTACAGAATGTTTTACAATTTCTTCTCGTTCTAGTATTTTATATTGAAATTCCTTCACGTTCTCTAGACATTCTTGATAAAATAGAAACAAAAATGCAAAAGCGCTTCAGCTTATCGGGGATTTTGCAAGTTTTATTTCAAAGAGAACGGACTTAGTTTGAAACTTTTGTATATTGTTTATTAATTTTGGCTACTCTGTTCTTACACGGAGAGCTTCCTCGCCTTACACAATTGAGAATATAATCGATAGATTACTTGTGAAGAAAATAGACAGTTGTAGAATGGGGCCAACAACAAAAAGCTACATATGACGGTTGTGTTTGATTGCCAGGTAAAAAAATCCATAGTTTCTCCACACGCACTTACCAAATGGTGTGTTTTTCTCAAATTCTTGAGGGTTTGGTCAGCAAAAATCTTCTCATATTTGCCCCTCAAAACTTCAACCCTGGCTATGCCACTGCTTCTTATCTTCTTTACCCTAAAGTAAAAAGCCAAATTTTTAAGATGGGCGTTTCCATCATTAACAGTAACCTGAAGGGTATGGCACCAAAATTCAATTAGTGTCTCACAACCCCCCTTCCCCCATAACCATTGTTGCTTAAATCCGCCCCTGCCTATCACATGTATAACATTAACCTGCAAAACGTTCTGCGTAATACAATAAATAATAATACATCTCCTGGAGAAATGAATGGCTTTGATAAAAGCAAACATCTTCAAACAAATTGAAGCTAATTTTATCAAACGTCAAAAATAATTATCAAAAATTGTTAGCTAGGAGATACCAATATGTACCAAGTTGTAGATCGAGATAAGCCAACTAGAAAGGGTTCAGTTTGGTTTGAGTGCTGTAATAGAGCTAAAATGATGCCAGCCTTTGCATTTGGATGGAATTATTTTGCATACGTAGGTATTTTGTATATTACGTAGATTGTTTGGAAATCCCCCTTGTGTCTCGAATGTTCTGTCTTCGCGACACAGCACCACGCAGCATTACACAGCATTCTATTCTTTTGTGTAGGATTACCCCTCATTAGGACTATATCATGCCGCGTAGTGATTAATTATATTGGGTAGCATTTTATGCTTAGTTATGTTTTTGTTGTATTTTCTTTATACATATAAATATACGTTGTAAGTTAGATTCAGAGAGATTCGGAGAGAGATTCATAGAGATCAGACATGAAAGGCTAAACAGTAGAAGGTCGCAAACCGTTTCGCCCAAGAGGCTCGCGAAAGTTCTTGCGGCCAAGTTTGCATTTAGGACAAGCAGTGCTTGAGAAAGACTGGGCTGTACCTCGCTAGTCGTTATATACAGTAGAAACCTGCATAAAAGAACCTGTTTTTATAAGAACCTCGAGGCTGAAAATTAATCTCTTGAAACCACATAATTAAGAGCCCCAAAGAGGCTGAAATTTGGAAAGGTTCTTATATCTATATATAAGAAAAATGTTTTCAGAGTGAAGCCACTTTCACATTCCATTATGGAGCCGAGACCCAAGATCCAAAGCGAAACTAGAGTTGTTTCCGTTCGTCCGCCAGTTGTTAGCATACGTGTTAGCATACGAAACAACTCACTCATTCTAACAACTCACTTGGCGGGCGAACGGAAACAACTCTAGTCTCGCTTTAGATTTTGAGTCTCGGCTCCATAATGGAATGTGAAAGTGGCTTAGCACTGGTTTATAAGTTTGTCCATAGAATTCCTGCGGTGGAAAATATTGTTAATGTGTGCAAGGCCTGTACGTATATAAGAACCTTGTTAAGAACCTTTTAAACTGGAATTTAGAATAGCAGCCTGTTAATTAAGAACCAATTCAGGTTGCCAGAAAAAAACCTAGGTTTTTTTATGCGGGTTTCTACTGTATTTAATTGGATTGTTAGTATTAGAGTTCGCGTAGAACCATCGTTTTGCTGTTTAGATCAAAGTTTAGCCTTGGAATGTCAGAAGCTGGAAATGGAAAGTAAAGTATAGCCGCTCATCCAAGAAACCGTCATTATTTGAAGTTTCAGTCTGGGGCATTTCTCTTTCGGTTTTAAACATCCATTTTACATGAGTGCTTCCTATTTTGCAAAGAAATTTTAAATTTAGAAACTTAATTTGTATAGTAAGAAAAGGTAAATACCGTAAAAGCTCTAGAAAGCCCCCAGGGACTTATTAATTTTTTCCATCCTAGAGGGGGGCTTGAATTAGAAGGGGCTTTTTAGAGAGGGGGCTTATGAATAATTCAATATGAAAAATTCTATCAAAAAGCCCTTATGCAGTTTTTGTTATGAAAATGTTATACAAATGTTTTAAAAAAACTTTGCTAGCAGCTTCGAAAGTTTCTTAAAATCAATCAATTATAATGTCCTTGTCTTCAACAAATTTCGACGGACTTCTAAGGCGCACAAATAAATATTTGCATGGGCCGTAATTAATGCATACAATCTTATCGAGACTTACTCATTGCATATGTTTTCTTTGTTTGACATCAGGGCCTTAAGAAGGGGGCTTAAAAGGAGGTTAATAGAGACGGGGACCTTTTTCAAATTTTTCCTTTTTAAGGGAGCGATTAATAGAAAGGGGGCTTAAAAGAGAGGGGAGCTTAATAGAGCTTTTACGGTCAGTGCAATTACGATGGAACTTACTTTGTTGATCTAATTAGAGAAGATAAGGATTGTTGTGTTTGTAGCCCGATGTGACTTAAACTTGTGATTCCGTTGCCTAGAAATTGCAGTGAGCTGGCCATTCTCCTCGGTTGTTGCAGAGACTCAATCCAAGACCCTGCGATCTGTATTACACAGGGGTGCTTTTTTGCAGACTATGCCAAACAATTGAACTTTTCTATCAGTCTCTCTTGAGAAATTTCCTTTTTTGTCTCTCTTGTGTGAGCAAACAATATCCGGACGTGGTAAAGGTTTCAATAGGTCAATGATGTACGCATAGATGGTTGTACGGTGTTTTCCAAAAACAGGATTAATTAAGAAAACAGTAACTCTCTTGTCGCGTTGTGGTGGGTTATCGCTAACACCAGTAATCGGAACAAAATGGCGGCAACACCGCTCGATACTCCTACACAACCGTTGGGCATAGATGAGATTCTGCCATACATCGGGGAATTTGGAAAGTTTCAGATTCTTCTCGAAGTTGCATTTTGTGTTATGGTAATTCCAAGGTCAATGCTGATACTCGTCCCGTACTTTGCACAAGACAGTCCTCCATGGACATGCGTTTCAAATAGTACAGTTTGCCGTCTTAATGGAACGTTTGATTCTTATAGCCGATTCTATCAATACCGATGCAATATGCCAAGGTCAGAATGGGAATTCACCAAGCAAAAAGAATACTCGATAGTCACACAGGTAAATCTTAACCAGCCCACTCTAGCTTACCCTTAATTCAGAGCAACTGTGTTAGTTGTTCCAAATGTAGAGCAGAATAATATCATGCTCCCATTTCTTGCGTTGATGAAAGAGAGTTGATGTCCAAATTCTTGATTTGATATCCATCAAAATCAACAACACTGCACTGACAAAGTAATATATTGTGTAACAGTTTATGCGAGTGAACAGTTTCACTGGTTCAAAAAGAAATGTTAACATCTTTTGATCAAAGGTTGTTGCCTGCAAACTTCAAATTAAGGTGGAGGGGGCAAGAGCAAACTAAAAATATTACGATAAAGCCTTTTAGTTATGTCGGAGGCCCTGCCTTTTATGCGAAATTTACAAGGCTTTCACTCCAACATTTGGCTGGGCTCAGTCTTAGAAACGATATTAAATGGTTCAATCATTTCCATTCTGTGGTTCAATCAAGATCTTGCCTTGCGGTATGTACTTCTAAAGAAAAACAAAGGTGTGTAAGCAGACAAAACGGTTGAGGGCTTTCATTACAATCGAATTTTAGAATTTTACTGTGCAATGAAATGCTCTTCATAAGCGAGAAATAATGGTTGATTATAGTTTCCATAAAACCAGAATTGTTTAAAGAACCTGTTTAGTTCAGGCACCGCGGAGCGTTGAGAAAAGTAGGGGGTCCAAAAAACGTGCGTGGGCTAAATGAAACCGAAAAAAAAGAGGCCTTACTGGTGGTTCACTTCATAATAATTTGCGTTTTTCACAAAAGTGGGGGAGCTAAAGCCCCCCCAGCCCCCCCAGCCCCCCTGCTCTGCTATAGGATATATTGTGTCCTATAACTCTACGAGTAGTCGTATATGGTAAGAAGCGATGACGATAGCGTGCAACTCGTGATGAGACTCGAAACTGACAAATGATCATAAGATAATTACAACAATAACTACTATACACAAGCAACATAGATTATCATAGAGTAATGTAGTTTTTACCCAAAATTCTGGCACTTACAAACGGGGTTAAAAACTGTGAATTTAAAATGAACTTTAATTTTAGTTCGATCTGTACTGTGACACTGAGATGTACAGTTACTTGGCCACATCTTCAGTTTTTATCAGCTGGGCGTTTGGAGCAGTCATTCTTGGTTGGGCGTCAGATAGGTAAGAAATTGATAAATGTTTCATGATAAATGTTTCGAACAGCCACAAACTTGATAAGTGCAGAAAATGAAGATGATATGAAACAATTGCTTCTTTCAGAAAATTTAAAACATGAATATAGTTTCTAAATCGTGAAGGCTCGCAAGTTATTGTTCCTTTTTTAACACCCCAGAATAAGATGTTTGGTAGGCGTAGTGCCCAGAGGTTCTGCATCCAAATCAAGTTATAAGAAACTGCATTTGCAACAGTCGTTGCGTTCAGCTGGAACGTCAATGAGCAAAAAGCAAAAGTTGAGCCTTTCCTTAAAGTTTCGACATAGGTTTTCATTGTTTAGTTACTTAATTCTGATATTAGCAACTTCTTTCTTTATAATTAGATAGAGGTTTTTATAATTCAGGATGACACTTGCGAACAATTACATCTGTAATCTTGTTTTCATTTCTTCCTGCCAGAGGTTGACTTGCCGCGCCGCACCTTTTTCAAGAGAAGGAGATCCTCTGGAAGTAGCAAGTTAGCGTAATTACTCTCTAAAGAATGCCCTCAAAAGAAGGATCAGCTAGCCAGTCCGATTGTTGTATTCTGAGTTTTCCCACACCGCCCTAGCCTTTCTTTATATCGCTATCAATGATGAACATTTGGATGAAAACTTCGATCTTTTTTTTAGGTACGGTAGAAGAATCATAATGCTGCCATCGACAATTTTTGTCCTTTTGTCTGGGTTCATCAGTTCGTTCTCTCCAAATCTTTGGTTCTACATTCTTACTCGCGCAGTGGTTGGGTTTTTCACACCTGGATCTGGTATACAGTCATTCGTTCTAATTTCAGAATTTGTAGGCCCAAAATGGCGTCCATTTGCTGGTATTACACTTTGGCTAATATATGCAGTAAGCGTTGTGTTCCTTGGTGTTATAGCCATCTTCGTTCAGACGTGGAAAACACTGATGATAGTCATCACAGCTCCATACTTCTTCGTTTTGCTGTTTTTCTTGTAAGTTTAATCAATGAAACTTTCAGGTAGAGTGGATTAGAAAACCATTAAGCAAATAATTTTACCCTTTATTGGATTTTTTGCTTTTGGGGCTTAATTGAGTTTTTAGCGCATCGCAATATTATAAGCAGCTGTTAGTGAATATTTGCAGCAAATGATTCCTAAAGTAAGGAGAGCACGTGCATTCTCAACTTCAGCTTGTGTCTTAAGTTTGATGTTTGAAGTTTCAACCGATTCTTTTTTATCGGGGTTTCATTTTAATGTTTGGGTGTACACAGCTGATATCTTTTAAAATTGAAAGAAGACTGGGCAAAATGTAAAATACAAATTAGTTTAGTACTAAGATTAGAGAAAGAGGACAAGTATAATCAAATATAACATAAAGAAAAGGAATATTAATGTCTTTATAGATATTCTCTTTAACTTTAAATATTGCCGATGTTTCAGACCATGACATTTTGAAACTAAATCCTCTAATTTTCCTACCAAGACGGGGTGTAACAGGGGTTAGACTTTCTCTAAAACCCTTGTCACTTCGAGTAGTCAACGAATTGAGAGTGAAGAAAAAAGCGAGCGACTCGTGTTGAGGCTCGAAACTGACTCCTGATCATCACATAATTACAACAATACATACTAAACACAAGCAACATAAATTATCATAGAGTAATGTAAACTAGCGTCCAGTCCTATTACAGGGGGGCAGGGAGGGGGGTTTCCCGGGTATAGTTGTGCTAAGACTTTCTCAGACCTTAAAGACTCCCAAAGGCATGATCCTCTTTAAGAAAAGTAAGATAATGAAATTCTTCTCATCTTAATTTTGACAAGCCAAGCAGGTTGCACTCTTATCATCTATGGGACAAAAACAATAATAGACCTTGGAAGCAGGGTCTCTTGGAGTAGCACATACAGCCATTCCCAGGCTAGTTCATCGAGAAACTCTGCCAATTTTAAATAACATCTTTTGAACTCTAAATAAAGAAACTGGCTTCAGAAAAGAAGGGAGATTCGTGGAAAGATGGTTTTTGAAGGTTTCTTGAAAAACTCTTATTGACTCGTAAATTTCTCCCTCAGTTATTAATGCATAGACTATCAGACTGTTAATTCTCATAGAATATCCTTAATTTCTTGCAAGGGTCATTCCCGAATCAGCTAGATGGCTTCATGTGAATGGGAGAACTGACGAGGCTCTTGCAATCTTTCGAAAGATCGCTAAGTGTAATGGAAAGGAGCTACCAGATATCAAACTAAAGACGAGTAAAGAGAACTTTTCCGCCGGAATAAAACATTACCTTCATTTATTCAAGCCGGCAAAAATTGCAGTAAGAAGCTTGATCCAAGGATTTGCATGGTGAGTAAATACTGTGTTTTTAATGTACAAGATAGAATGGGGTACATCCCCCTTACAGATAAAAGCTAGGGACGGCCCGCTTGTGGACAAAAGCTCCTCCGCTTCCCCGGTTAGCTTTCTGTCTACGACCTCGAAATCTTGCACCCAGGGTATTGGTAGGAGTACACTAAATATTTCTTTATGAGTGATCACTTTCAATACAGTGTGATCATTTAAGTGTGATCACTATCAATACAGATGACTTCAACCATACCTATTCAAACATTTGCTTCTGCTGAAGATAACGTTTTTAGTGGCAATCGACTCAGAATCCGTGTTTATTTTAAGGAATTTACATTACTGCATAAAATCTTCGTAAAAAGATGATTTTGGGGGCGAAAATGGGCACGACATTTGATTGTGTATTTATGACTTTCAAAAACAAATTATTTGTATAAAATTACCTCATCATGTTTAAAAAGTTTTATTAGGCTACAAAAGTAAGATCATTTTCAAGGGCCACTAATTCACCTGATCAAAAAATATAGGAATTCACCTTATTTCTTATCAATCTGACTGTGTCGTATGTAAAAAGCAGACCTTGCAATGCTTTAGAGAGGTACATCGGAAGAAGCATAGGATGTTATTATTTCCATGATGCCGCTGAATGATAGGCCAATTTTTGAAAATTGATGCTACCAGTTCGCTGGAGAATGCACCCCTTGAAGCGCCTCTTACCTATGCAATCAATCTCTTGAATTAATATCCACAGCCTGAAAGATATTTTATTTTGTAATAGTTCTCAAAACATCAGTATTGATTTGTTAATTATGTGGCATACAACAACAGTAGTACATCTTGGGCCTCACATGTTAAAAAACACCTTCTGCCAACCTTTTAAGGACAAATATTCTCGAAAACTCAGTCATTTGGCTTAATTTCGCTTTTGTCACTGTCATTAATCCAGGTTCATTGATATGACGTTCGTTTTTTATAAAGCAAAAAATGAATTTAGGATTATAGGCTATTCTGCCAATTGTTATTCACCGTATATAAGGTGTATGTAAGAGAGGAGAGTCCCTTTAGCAACACCAGTGTTGCCCCGACGAGTACACATTTGCTGCGTTGACAGGAGACAAACCCACAAGCTTCTACACACAAGAATGACAAGCGTTTTAACTATATCACCTCTCCAGTTAAAGCTACAGATCATAATTACGTATGGTTTACTGCTTTTTTTAGGGTTGTGAGCGGCTTGGTGTTCTATGGAGTTTCATTCGGCGCTGGTGACTTGAGCGGTAACACGCACAGGGACTACATCCTTACCAGTTTATTCGACATACCGGCTGTTATTCTCGCAATTTACCTTTGCAACAAGTGAGTTACTTCGTTGTATGACTTGTTGGGGGGGGGGGGGATTGAAACCTGGAATTGAAAGTGCTATTTCATCATTATCCATCACTACAGAAATAAGAAGTGTGACTGTGACCTCATTAAGTCAATCCAATGATTTTTTAAATATAAACAACAGTGGATCTAACGATGATCCCTGAGTAACTCACTAAACGTGAACGTACCTTATCTTGCAGAATTGGAAGAAAGAAGACAGTGATTATTCCGATGTTTATTGCCGGGATATCCTGCATCGTTGTCTCCTTGATTCCTTCAAAAACAGGGGGGAAACCATCGAGTAAGTTTCTCGCAAAGATCTTCAAGCTGCAGACATTTTCACACTAGGTATCTTAGTTTGCCTGTATAAATATATAAAATGCAAGAGTAGAATTCCAAGTACAATGTTAGGATAAAAAAAACCAGAGAAAGTTATTTGAATCATTACATTACCAATTTGAAAGAAACTCATTACATTAATTCTAAATGTGAAAGCACTTTTTCTATATTCTTATTTGTTTTGTTAAGGTTCTACTTTGCAAATATTCAATGTTATGAAGTATTTGTTTAAGTGTCATGAAATGGTCTAAAGGTAGACTTGACATCGTCTCTACAACGTCTGAAAGTTGCGTAAAATTCTTGGTTACGTAAATATTGTACCAGTGTTCTCATTATCTCTAAAGAAGTTTTATTTATGTTGAGGTGTGATTTTATTGCTCAATCTTCCATGGCCTAAACTTGAATGATTCTGAATCTGAATGAAAAATGCATGGTTTAGGTTTGGCTCCCCAGTCTCTTAAATTGAACATCGTACCATTCAGCATTGCTTATTCATCAGTTTCTATATTAACTTCCGATGTTGCTCATCGGAAAATGTTATTCAAACTTCGACAATTTGAAAACGTTACCTATTTGTTCAGTTCAACACCTCTTACTGGGAAATGAATCATTTTCATACAAAACAAAAATATTCTGATACGATTGATTTTTACATTGATATAACTTTTTTCATCCAGAACTTGTTGGTCTTCGAGTTTTCTTTGGAGTGCTTGGAAAGTTTTGCATTACGCTTTCGTTTGATTCCCTCTACACATGGTCGACAGAAATCTACCCGACTGTCGTAAGGTAAGATTCAGAAAAAGATTAATCGCGGTAAGCGCCGTGCATGACTTAAATTCAGCAAAAATGTTTGAGAAACTACCATGAATTGCTAGTAGCGAAATAGCGAAGGCCTTTAAAATTTACAATTGCTTAGTGATTTTTTTTCGACCTGGACTTGGATCAAGTCTCTCTCTCTCTTTTTCTCCTGGACTGTAAAGCCCGGTGTCATATGCGTTTCGGTAACTTTAATGTATGAATTCTTTGACAGGGGTGCAGGCATGGGCTACTTGCAAATCTCTGCCCGCATTGGTTCTTCGCTAGCACCTTGGGTGGCGAAATGGCTCATCATCTTCCACGTGGCACTACCATTTTCCATCATGGGCGGTTCAGCTGTCATTTGTGCGATTTTGATGATGAAGCTGCCTGAGACAGCCAATAAGGAAACATTGGAAACACTTGCTGACCAATTTGAAGAGAATGACAACCGTGTAAAGGTGAAAAATCTGAAAGATGAGAAGGCAAGTTTTATTGAGATGAAAGACCCAACAGTTTGAAGTTTCTCGCTCCTTTCAGAAAGGAACAGCAAAATACTGAAATTTTTATTCAAACCAAACCCGTTTGTATTTTGTGTTTTTGATAACAATTGTGGTTAGAAAATCAACCATTTTTTTCGTTTTCCCATTTTTCCAAATATGAGCTGTTTATTAAATTTGTCTCTAGAGTAAGTTTTTGGGAACAGAACCATCCCCTCATCAACACAACACAAATTATATTTCTGCAAAATCACATTTCAATTCCTACAGATACCTGATTTCCTACTCTCATAAATAAAAGCATGTTCAAGATCAGATACAGTCTCAGTGGCGGTTTTAAGGGGAGGCAACTAGGGGCAGTTGCCCCTCCCTCGACAAGTTGAAGCAACTTTGGCGCCCCTTTTTGGAAATTGTGCGTCTCTTTCGAAGAATGAGAGTCAATTGAAAAAGTTTCTGAGACCGACAGGTTAATTTGCTTCAAAAACTCTTTTGGGTTTGTAGAAACGCAATCCTTTTGAATGGATGAAAGGGCCCTTTTTGTACTGTAAATGTTAGAATTGTAAAGCGTACCCCCGTGCGCCGAAATTTTCCCATTGCTTAAATTAGATTTGTGAGTAAACATCTTAACACAGCGAGCATCGTACTCGTCATGGAGGTTTTATGAGGAGATGAGAGAGTTATAGTTTAGGAAAGTCGAAGTTTAACCGTATTCTCTAAGTATTATATATAAGAAGTTGTTTTGTTGTGTTGGTAAAATATCGTCAAAATTCAATTCTTGCCCTCTTTATCGTGAAATCCTGAAATCATGGAAGTTTACAACAGTAAACAATACATGGATTATACCGAATCATATGAGATATCCTGTTAGAATATCTAGAAGCTCTATTTTCAAATTATTTTTCATAACCCCAACTAATCAAATCTTTGGTTAGAAATAATTAGTGGTTACCATCTATAGGCAGAATATGCTTATAACCGTCCATCTAGACAAGGTTTCTTCAGTTTTTGCACTGGCTAAAACATTCGCGGCCTTTATCATTCTTGTCTGCAGAAAATATAAAAACCTACACATTTTTAATGGCAACAACTCCCAACTCGATCACAGAGTACCGAAGTGATGACGTCATAAAGATATATTTTTAGGATTTCTGAATTTTGATCCAAGAACCTGAAAGAGCATCATGAAATACCTCTAAATATGCAAAATCAGTTGAAGGCATTATGAATTGGCTGAGATATGGCCGCTTGAGCACAGGCTCTTGCACCATCAAACCTCTATAATTTGGTCCTGGTTCTAATTATATGTACCAGGCCAGAATAGCAGTAACTCGCTAGCAAACTTGAAATCTTTCATTGGCCAATTTGGAAGATATCTAACTAACTTTGCATATTGAGAGGTATTTTATGCCGTTCTTTCAGATTATGTGGCCAAATTTAAGAAATTCTAAAAATAGATTTTTGATGACGTCACACTCCAGTACTCTATTGTTATAATAATAATAAGACGAATATTTATACAGGATATACACTTCAATGAGTTAAAAATGCTGTTATTAATGTGTGTCCTGTGTCTTATGCCTTAATGCTATTTCCCTAAATATTTACAGTTAAAAATGAATCCAATAAAAGTAAGAATACAGATATAAAAAGAAAAGGTCTACCTAATTACATTCAAAGTTTCAGGTAAAAGATTAAGATAAATGTCATCGAAAATGTTCCTTAAGTAGTTTCTCAAATTCCTTATTGTTCTCCATCTTACGAAGTTCCAGCGGTAGATCATTGTACACCTTCGCACCCATAAACATAAACGATTTTCATGCGAAATCAGTTTTGATCCTTGGTAGTTTTAATGTGTAATTGTTGTTTCGAGTCTGCTTTTCATGCTCTTGCAAAGTGAAAAGATTGTGCAACTGTACACAAATTTCCTTGTCTAGACATTTTCGTACCAGCTTGCAAGCCATAGTCTTGTTACAATTGTTGTTTCGAGTCTGCTTTTCAAGCTCTTGCAAAGTGAAAAGATTGTGCAACTGTACACAAATTTCCTTGTCTAGACATTTTCGTACCAGCTTGCAAGCCATAGTCTTGTTACAATTGTTGTTTCGAGTCTGCTTTTCATGCTCTTGCAAAGTGAAAAGATTGTGCAACTGTACACAAATTTCCTTGTCTAGACATTTTCGTACCAGCTTGCAAGCCATAGTCTTGTTACAATTGTTGTTTCGAGTCTGCTTTTCATGCTCTTGCAAAGTGAAAAGATTGTGCAACTGTCCACAAATTTCCTTGTCTAGACATTTTCGTACCAGCTTGCAAGCCATAGTCTTGTTACAATTGTTGTTTCGAGTCTGCTTTTCATGCTCTTGCAAAGTGAAAAGATTGTGCAACTGTACACAAATTTCCTTGTCTAGACATTTTCGTACCAGCTTGCAAGCCCTTGTCTTGTTAGCATTGACGATCGACGTAAGCTTCTGCTTTGGTCTTACATCTCCAAAGACTATTTTCAGCGCACGTGAGTGAAGTGATGAGAGCCTGCTCAACTGGATATTAGTGTATTTCAACTGTATTATGCCACAGTATGTGAATGTTGGGAGTATCATTGAGTGATAAATTGTAGCAGCTGTGGCTTGATCAAGATACGATCTTATTTTTGCTAAAAGTCGTAGCCTATCAGCAATGGCGTACCCAAGGGGGGGAATGGGGGGGTCCGGACCCCCCACTTTTCTAAAATATGGTCCTTGAGATTTGTCCAAAAACGATGTAAAACTCATTGAGGGAAGGGGGGGGGTAGCGGGGTAGTATACTGTATGCTTGTGTCAATAACAATTGTAAAATGCTTTGCTATTTACCGTAGCTAACATGAATCAAAATAATGGGGGGAAATTTTGCAAAAAGGGCGTTTCCACGCATTTGTGAGTGTTTTAAGGGCGTGGTTCAAGAAAATTTTCTAGGCACTGTGCCCTAGACCACCCCACTACTGTAGCCCTGGGTACGCCACTGCCTACCAGACGTTTTTTGTAGCAAGTATGGAAATTCGAATTCAGGTTTAGCGAGCCACCTACACGGACACCGAGATACTTGTATTCCGTTGTGTTGTTGATGACAGTTTGATCCGACAATTTGATTTCGAGTGGCTCAGTTTGCTTGGCAATCCTTTGTAAAGTGCCGGAGAGAAGGGATTCTGTCAGCATTGCGTTTTCCTTTGAGAAACAACTGTTATAGGCTACTTTTGCTTTTCGGAAGGAAAGGTAATCCTTGAACCACTCTAGTTCCTTGCCATCAAATCCATAAAGAGAGAGTTTTTCTAGCAACATTGCGTTCTTAGCAACAAGAAAATTACAGCATTGAACGTTTAACAAATTA